AATTTGAAAATGTAATTCTTGGTATTGATGAGAGTGTGAAAAGCAAAATAGTTCTTTGTGGAAGTAAAATTAGTGAAATACTTTGGAGGGAAGTTCAACAAAACACATCAAAAATATAAGCCAGGTGTGGTGGTGCACACCTGAGTGGTACTTGGGAGACTCAGGCAGGATGATCTGCTTGATCCTTGAGGCTAGCCCAGGCTACATACAGAGCTGTGTCTCCAAAAAAAAAAAATTGTATTTACAGGGCTGGAGAGATGACTCATCTGTTTAGAGTACTGGCTGCTCTTGCAGAGGACCTGGGTTTAATTCCCAGCACCTATATGGTGGTTAACAACCATCTGTAACTCCATTTCCACCGGCATTGCACCCACATGGTGCGCTTACATACATGCAGGCAAAACACTAATACACATGAAAAATAAAATAAAATGAAACAAATTTTAAGTGTATTTAATCTGAGTAGGAGCAAGAAGTCTAACCGAACTGTGAAAAGAATATATGAATAAGTCTGTTTCAAGTGTTGCAGTATATGAAGTTGTGATTTAAACATTTACTTTATTTATTTTTTTTTTTTTTTGAGACAGGGTCTCCTTGTAGCCCCAGCTGTCCTGGAACTCACTATGTAGTCCAGGCTGGCCTTGAACTCACAAAGATCTGCCTGCCTCTGCCTCCCAAGTGCTGGGATTAAACAGATGCGCCACCATGCCCACCTGAACATTTACTTTCTTATCATAAATTATAAATCGTTATGATAGATCCATACGGTAGAGTACTCTTTAATTGTTAAATATGAGATAACTCTATTTATACTAATGTGGAAAAATACTTTTAAAATATATATTTAGAGAAAGGTATAGAAGTTACAGGATCCAAATCTCGTTTAGTTTTTAAGGATTTGTTAAAAAATTATGTGTATGAGTGTTTTGCATGCATGTATTGAGTGCGCCATGTATGTACAGTGCTTTGCAGAGGCCAGAAGAGGGCACTGGATCCTCTGGACCTGGAGTTATGGACGGTTGTTAACCATCATGTGGGTGCTGGAAACCAAACCTGAGTTTTTCCACAAGAACAGCAAGTGCTCTTAACTGCTGAGCTCTCTCTCTAGCCCCCTGTCCTGCTGCTTCAAGTTTTATAACCCAGTGATCCAGTAATTAGAAAAACAGAATCAGGGAATCTGTGCATGCATTTTATTTAAATTTTTTACTATGTTTTATTTAGTCGTGTGCGTGTGTGTGTGTGTGTGTGTGTGTGTGTGTGTGACATAGCACCTATGTAGAGGTCAGAGAACAACTTGCAGAAGTCAGTTCTCTCTTTCCACCATGTGGGTCCTAAAGATTGAACTCAAGTGGTCACTCTTAGTGGCATGTGCCTTTGTCTATCACGTCACCTCATTGGCCTGCATTTTACTTGTTAATGATGATAAAAATGTACATAATAGCATTTTCTATTTTAAGATACACGGGCTGGAGAGATGGCTCAGTGGTTAAGAGCATGGGATATTCTTGCAGAGGACCCAGGTTCAGTTCCCAGCTCCCACATGGCAGCTGACAACCATCTGTAACTCCAGTTCCAGGGGAATTCAGTGCCCTCTTCTGACCTCCGTGGGTATTGCACAATACGGGTGCACTTACATACAAGCAGACAATACACTCATACACATAATAAAAATAAAAGTAACTGTATTAATTCAACTGTGAACCTAAAAATTTACAGCCACTTTTGAAAGAGATGTATCCTTGCTCTGGAGTGTGTTACTGAGTATGTTAAAGCTGTAATGAAATGTTTCTTCAAATCATGTGGTTATTAAATTTTTAAAAAATTTTAAAAAATAAATAAAAGTAATATATAACATTTCAAAAAAAGTCTATGGGAGGACCAGATGTTCTGTGTCTCCTTTTTTAGGTTACAGTCTCCGTCCCCAGAAGAGTCAAGTCCTTCAGAAATGAGGACAGACAGCCACGCTGTGAACTGCAGGGACGTGAGTGTGCCTGTGGTTCCAGAAACGAGCGATTTATTCATTGTTGACCATTTCCTTTGAGAAGGAAGCCGCTACAAAGTAGACGGTGTCTGAGGGCCAGCGTGGCAGGGGGTGGTGTCTGAGGGCCAGCGTGGCAGGGGGCGGTGTCTGAGGGCCAGCATGGCAGAGGGCGTGGTCAGGGTTAGGGTTAGGGAAGGGCTCTAGGTTATGACTCAACCCCTCTTTGTAACCTTGGGCTGGGAACTCAGACTGTGGGCTTCACTTTTCTCCCTTGTAAAGATGATAACACACCGTGGGTGAGTGTGACGTAGGTGATGGAATACAAACCCCAAACGTTTCTTGAGACAAGGTCTTATGTAACCCAGATTGACCCCAAACCCACTATCTATCTGATTTTTCCTGCCTCCATCTCCCAAGTGCTGGGATTACAGGTGTGCACCACACCAGATAAAACCAAAAACTCTCAGATGGTACTTGTCACACCTGCTAAGTGCTTAATGACCTGTTCTTATTATTGTTATTGTAACAGATTCTAACTCAGCAGCTTAAATGTACTGCTGTAGTTTGAAAAAGATGTAAATAAATAGGTCCTGGAGAGATGGCTCAGTACTTAGAAGTGCTTGCTCCTCTTCCAGAGGAGCTGAGTTTGGTTTCCAGCACCCAACCTGCTGGCTGGATTCACAACCTGCTGTAACTCCAGTTATACCCTCTTCTGGTCTTTGCAGGCCCTGCACTCATGTGCCCACACAGTAGTCACACACACACACACACATATACATAATTTAAAAATAAAAATAAAGGGGCTGGCGAGATGCTCAGTGGTTAGGAGCACTGGCTGCTCTTGCAGAGGACCTGGGTTCAGTTCCCAGCTCCCACATAGCAGCTAACAACCATCTGTAACTCCAGTTTCAGGGAATCTGATGCCTTCTTCTGACTTCTGCAGGTATTGCATGACACATGTGCACTTACATCTATGCAGGCAATACACTCATACCCATAAAGTAAAAATAAATAAATAAAAATAAAACCTTTTTTTTTTTAAAGAGAGAGACTTAAAATAAGCCCAAGATAGGTACCGAGTGCTGCTCGGTTCAACTGAAAATACACTAGCTAACTGAAATGCTTGCTTCAAGGACAGGAATGACTCCCTGTGGGTGATACAAAGCTATTATCCAGCTACATGGGAGGCTACATACCCCGTCCGGCTTTGAGCTTACTGTGAGCTCTGGGAGGCCTTGAGTAAAAACTAGGGCCAGGCATGGTGGTGTGCGCCTTTAATCCCAGCACTTGGGAGGCAGAGGCAGGCGGATCTTTGTGAGTTCGAGGCCAGCCTGGTTTACATAGTGAGTTCCAGGACAGCTGGGGCTACAAGGGAGACCTTGTCTCAAAAAGACTTTTTAAAAAAGGATGAATGGAGTACCCCTTCAGTGGGTCTATCTAAAAGATTCTTTGAATCGTGAATAGGAGATGTGAAGAAGTAAAGGCCGAGTAATTCGAGGTAGGTGTGTCAGCTCTGGGATGAAAATTCAGAGAAAGAAGGCGACTTCTGAGCAGAAGCAGAGGCTTGAAAACGGAAATGTCACATGCACTTGTGTAAAAATAGGACAGGTCTCTGGTCTCATTTCTTACATTTAACAAATAAGGCAAATATGAGAGAGGCAGATTTAAGTCAGTGCAATAAAAGTCTTCAAGTAGCACAGGCTGTGCTGTCTTCTGGCCTCTGCACATGCATAGTTGTGCAGCACCCCCAACACACACATGCACGTATGTTCACACACACACACACACAAATAGGCAAATACATCTTTTTAAAAATAAAAGCATCTAGGCTTTAGAGTCCAACAGTCTTCATTTGCAATCCCGGTGGCAACACCTTGGGAAAGACACTACGTTCTTTAAACTTCACCTATGTCACAACCACCGCCCAACACGGGGAGGATGAAGTGAGGAGATGCATGTGGGTGTGTGATGCTCGGCATCCGAGTCCACTCGCTACCCATGGAGGTGGTGGCGCTGTCCCAACCGAAACCACAGGCAGTTCCTGTGGGGGCCTTGTTGACCGACCCGTGTCGTGTCTTTTCAGATGTCCAATAAGGAGCTCTTTTCACTGAGTGCCTGTGAACGAGGACACCTGGAGGCTGCCGGGCAAAGACAGAGCGCCGGAGCTGCCCACGGCCGAGGGCCGCCCCTTGGTAAGTTACCCCTGCCACCCACCATGTCAGCTTTCCAGTCTCCCTCTTAGCCACTGTGTTTTCAGCACAAGAGATCTCTGAAGATGCAAGTAGCTTTGAAAAGAAGCTTTGTCAGGCTGGAGAGCTGACTCAGTGGTTAAGAGCACTGGCTGGTCTTGCAGAGGACCCGGGGTCTGATTCCCAGCACCCACATGGCAGCTCACAACTGTGCATAACGTCAATTAAAATTGGTTTAAAGTATTTCTATCTGGAAAAACATGTCTGCGCTCAGGAATTTTAAGACTCATGCTACAGAAGTGTAAGATTTAATCATCTTAATGCTTCTGCGAAGTCCAAATCAAGAAAACTATGCACAGTGTTACCATTTCACATCCTCTGACCCATACTGCTCTCCTGAAAGCAAACCTTGACACAGAGGACTTTCAGTGACTGAGCCACGTTCTTATCACCCTGAGTTCTTGTAACTCTGAAACACACCCAGAGAACTTCCGTTCCTCTTCACCTGCATTATAACCTCAATTTCCAAAACCTCATTCCATCTTGAACCTGAATCTCACCTCCAGCTTCCTCCTCGCCTCCTTTTCCAGTCTCCTTATAAGGAAATTTCATGATTTGGGGAGTTAACGCTTTGTCTCAACCCTCCCAGACTCCCTACATACACAGCCCCTGACTTCCAGCAATCTGGGAGTCTGTGCTGTGTAGTCTTCTAATACCAAACAGACTAGTTCACTTGCCTGCATCCCAGAAATTAAATGCCAATTATGTGGTAGCAGATTGTTATAGAAACAAGGTGACTTGTTAAAAAAATGTATCAGGTTCCTGCCATTTAGAACACGTCTTACATTTTTCCAACTGCTCTTGTGGCTTCTGCCTGACTTCGACCCCCTCCCCCTGTAGCTGTGATAAAATACCCGACAAAAAGCCACCTAGAGAAGAAAGGGTTTATTTTAGCTCACCAGTCCAGGCAGCAGGGACTTAAAGGCAGGAACCTGAAGCAGCCGGTCACGTCCAGTCTAGAGAAGAGGGAAATGCGTCCATGCCCACTTGCTCGGTTTCCTTTTTCACTTACACATTCAGAGCCGGACTGAGAAGGCTGCCTACCACATTCAGGGTGGAGAATCCCGCTTCAGTTTCCCCAGTGAAGAAAAATCCCTCGGGGCGTGTTCACAGACCAACCTGATCTAGGCAGCTCCTCAATGAGACTCTTTTCCCAAGCGAGTCTAGATTGTGTCGAGTTGTCAGAACTACCCATCACACAGTCTCTAGTCCCTGGTTGGGCTCAGACTTGCTGTGTAACTAGGGGTCCTCCTGTCTCCTGCTGGGATTACAAGGACCCACCACCATGCAGTGCTGGGGACTGAACCCAGGATTCCGTGCATGCTAGGCAAGCACTCTACCCGGCCCCTGCGTTTCACTACATCCATTTTTAACACATAACTTTGCAGCTCCCCGTACTTACACAGGCCTGCGTTATAACCCACAGGTGGTGGGGCCCAGCTGGATTTTGGTGTGCTGTGTGACGATGACGCAGCCCTGGCGGCCTTCATGAATTACCTTGAAGCAGAGGGGGGTCTGGGGAACCCTGGAGACTTCAGCGACATCCAGTGGACACTCTAACATTTTGCCCTTGAACTGCAGAATGAGAATCATTTTAAGGCATTTCATTTAAAAATTGTCTATTCCTTGGTACTGTATTGATACTTTTTAGTCTTTTATTGATGGTCTACCAGTTTTTATACACCTGTCTTCCCCTAACAGGGTTGTGGAGAAAATGCTTTCCTTCAAAGAGGGTCAACCCGAGCTTATCGAAGTCCCCTTTACGCAGTAAAGTAGCTTGGATCTATCTAGCTGCCATATTTTTGCTACCATTTTTCTGACCAAAACCAAAAGAATGCCACCAACCGCTGTTTGGGATTTATTTTTCTTTTAGTTTTGTTTTTGTTTGTTTGTTTTGGAAATTTAATATATGAACATTTTCATTGTCTGTGACTGTTGTCAAATAGCCTCATAATGTGGGTTGTGTTATGTGGAGTTTTCCCAGGCTTTGAGCATTTCCTTTAATTGAGGAAGGAGCTTGGCACCTCAGCAGCATGGTGAGTCCTTGAACATTTAAAGGAATGGTACAATTTAGAGTCATAATTATGATGAATACTGTACACTCAGTCTTTATAAAGCTTGGCAAGAGCTGTTGGGGTTATGATGCTCACAAGCTCTTGCGGACAGATTTCAAGTGAGATGACTTCTTTTGTTAATATTTTATTATTTTTATTTTATGTTATGTTTATGAGTGTATTGCCTGCATGTGTGTAAGTGCACCATGTCATGCAATGCCTATGGTGCCTATGGTCAGAAGAGGGCGTCGGATCCCCTGAAATTTGAGTTACAGATTATGGTCGTTAGCCGCCATGTGGATGCTGGGAACTGAACCCTGGTCCTTTGTAAGAGCAGCCAGTGCTCTTAACTGCTGAGCCATCTCTCCAGACCCATGAGATGACTTCTTTTGAGACAGGGTCTTCCTGTAGCCCTAACTAGCCTGGAACTTACCATGTAGACCAGGCTGGTCTTGAACTCACAGAGATCCGCCTGCCTCTGCTTCCTGAGTGCTGGGACTAAAGGCGTGAGCCACCAGGCCCAGCTGAGATGACTTCTTAAAACAGAAAAAGCAGCCGGCTTGGTGGTATATACCTTTAATCCCAGCACTTGGGAGGCAGAGGCAGGTGGATCTCTGAGTTTGAGGTCATCCTGGTCTACATCGTGAGTTCCAGGACAGCTGGGGCTACAGGGAGACCCTGTCTCAAAAAGACCAAAAAAAAAAAAAAAAAAAAAAAAACAGGAAAGCCAAAAGACTTCCTGCTTTGCCTGCAGAAAAGGAAGGAGCTTCAGTTGTTGATTTTGATAATGAATCTTTGCAAGAAGACTTAGTATAACCACTCAAGATTTTCATTATAACTAGAACTGGTTTTCTAGTTTTCACTGTTGAAAACATACTTGTGATAGATTAGTCCTAAAGGAAAAAAAGTCCAGGCAAACCGAATGTCCTGTGTTAAGCCCCACATTAGAGGTAGGTCTTCAAGAGTTTTTAATTTGGTTTTGTTTTGTTTTGAGATGGGGTCTCACTGTGTAGTCCTGGCTGGCCTGGAACTCACTATGGAGACTAGGCTGGTCTCAAACTCACAGAGACCTGCCTGCCTCTGTCTTCTGAGTGCTGGGATTAAAGACATATACTATCATGCCTAGCTAAGGCCGTTTCTTTTATTTTTTTTTTAATCTTATGTGTATGAGTGTTTTGTCTGCTTGTATGTAAGTGCACCATGTGCATCCAAGGCCCATAGAGGCCAGAAGAGGGTGTTGGATCCCCTGGAATTGCAGTTATGGACGATTGTTAGCCACCATTCGAGTGCTGGAAATCGAATCCAGGTCCTCTGCAAGAGCAGTGAGTGCTTTTAACCGCTGAGCCATCTCTCCAGCCAAGACAATTTCTTTAGGTACATCTGATTTCAGTGAATGAGTGCAGGAAATAGCTGCGGCCATCCAGGTAACTGAGCAAATTACTGTCTGCAGCCAAAGTGACCAAGGAAACGATACAATTCTTTTTCTTCTTGTTCTTTTGTTTGTCTGTTCCAGACAGGGTCTCCCTGTAGCTCCAGCTGACCTGGAACTCACTGTGTAGACCAGGCTGGCCTTGAACTCACAGAGATTTACCAGCCTCTGCTGGGATTAAAGGTGTGTGCTACCCCAGGGGGCTTAAATATAGCTCTTTAAATTATGAGGCGAAGAGAAGTCATTTAAAAAGTTAACTCTGGGTATAATTAAAATTTTAGAAGGCATTTTAAAACAGCTTTTCAGAGGTAGCTCAAGTGGGTGTAATAATTGGGATTATGTAAAGGGATCATCACTCAGTTGGTCGAGTGCTTGCCTAGCATACACAAAGCCTTGGATTCAGTCCCCAGCATTACCTAAAGCAGATGTGGTGGTACATGTCTATAATCTCAGCACTCGGGAGGTAGAGGCAGGAGGATCAGAAGTTGACCACATAGCAAGTTGGAGATCAGTCTGGGAAACACAATCTGTTTCAAAAAATAAAAATTAAAATATTACTTTAAATTCTATATCTCTATCTTACTGAGGAACTCACACTGCCTTAATATCTTGTATTAATACCCATATATTTTCCTTTGTGCTTTACAGATGCAAGTCAGATAGGCTGGGAAAGTGTCAGGGAGCCCTGAAGCTGCAATGGAGGGTTCACATTCACCTTCCTTTCTCAACGTGGTGCTAATGACCCTCTGAGCCCCTCACCTCCATGTGTCGCTGTGAACCCACATGACAATTGTTTAGGCTGTAGGTGGTCCATTCGGACTTCTGTCAGGTATGTGAGTTGCGAATATCACCAGCTTACAGGTGATTCTGGTGGAGTTCACAGTGGCTGGGTGTGTAAGGATATTTCGGTACCCTGTCCACTTGAGCTGACACAGTGCCCGGCTGCTGGGGGCTGCCCCCTTCCTGGGCTGCTACTTTAGGACGTGAGAGACATCCAGTGCCTCATTTTAAAATCTTATTTATTTTTATTTTACACATATGAGTGTTTTGCCTGCAAGGATGTGAGTGCACCCATGTTGTGCACTACCCAAGGGTGTCAACTGGAGTTACAGATGGTTGTTAGCCATCATGTGGGTGCTGGGAACTAAGCCTGGGTCCTCTGCAAGAGCAGCCAGTGCTCTTAACTGCTAAGCCATCTCTTCAGTCCCACATCCAGGTTTACAAAAGCGGAAGGGATCTTGCCCAGTGGAGCTGTACCTTAAACGATGGAGGGCACCACTTGTGTGTTTGAACAGAAGGCCCACCCACCCACAGAACTTCCTTAGGGGACAGCCTGACCATGGTTGGCTTGATCTCCAGACAGTCCACCTTGGCCTGCATTGGGTAAGATGGCCTCCAGAGCAGGTGGGCATGGTGCTTCATACCAGTAATCCCAGAACTCAGGAAGCTGAGTTCAGGAGGACTGCTGTGAATTTGAGGTCAGCCTGGGCTACACAGGGAGTTCTAGGCAGCTTGAGCTACACTGTGAGTCCCTCAAAACAATAGCAGGTGGAGCTAACCCTCCTGATCTAAGAGACTGAGCTTTAGGGCCCTTTACCGCCTTGCTTAGTGGCAATTTTCAGTCTTGGCAAGAGGGGGCCGTTTTGATGCTCCATGGATGGCTGCGCCCTTTTTCAGCCCATTTGCATATTTTTCTGCAGATCCTGCTGTCCTAGACTCAGAACCAGCCCCATGTGTGCTTTTGTGATTTTCTGTGCTCCTGTGATGCGTGAGTTCTTCCAAGCACATCCTGTTTGTGTTTACTGAGTCCACTGTGTTTGAGGAACAGATTTTTATGGTATATACCATAATACGTTTTTCTCCTATAAATTGATTTCTTGAATTTTAGTAAGAAATAATTGTTTTAAAATTGCACCAAAGTATCATAAAGATGGTACTGTAGGTTTGTGGTGTGAGTGCACACGTGTATGGGGGGCGATTGAGTCAGTGTCTTTCTGTGTATTCTAGGCTAGCCTTGGACTCACTTTGTAGCCCGACTGGCCTCAAACTTTCTACAATCCCCCTACCTCAGCCTAGCAAGTGCTAGGATTATAGGGGTGCACCAGTGTGCAATGGCTCAGGTTTGGGTTTTTTTTCGACGCTAAGACTTACCACTATAATAACTTAATGGAGAGGGAAGGTTCTGCAATCAGAAGCCCCTGCTCAGCCTGAATTGGTTGTGACCTTGAGCAAGTTATTGCAAAGGCTGTGTGCCAGTTTTCTCTTCTGTAAGACGCTCACCTCTAAGTTTACTCTTAGCTCTGACCCTGTGACTCTGACCCATAGTGTGGGGAAGACCCATTCTGCAGTCGGTTACAAAAGTGGCTCCAGGGACCTGTGACTGCAGCTGGCACAGAACTGTGAGCTAAATGCAAAGTAAGTATAGGAGCTGGAGAGAAGCTCAGTGGTTAGAGCACTGGCTGCTCTTGCAGAGGACCTGGGTTCAGTTCCCAGCACCCACATGGCAGTTAACAATGGTCCATAACTGCAATTCAGGGGATCTGATGTCCTCCTCTGATCTCTGTGGGCATTGCATGACACAGGTGCACTTACATGCAGGGAAAACACTCATACAGATAAAATCAAAATAATAAAAAGGACAGTATTGCAGCCAGGTGTGGTAGGTGGCACACGCCTTTAATCTCAGCACTTAGGACAGAGGCAGGTGGATGTCTGAGTCTACATAGCCTGGTCTACATAGCAAGTTCCAGGCCAACTGGGACTACAGGAAGACCCTGTCTCAAAAAGACCAAAAAAATTAAAAAAAAATAAATAAAACAGTATTGCAAAAGAATTAGAGGTATTGGGCCAACAAGTTTCAACTGACTATTCAAATGATATATTTTGGCTATAGTGGATTAAGCCAAACATTAAAATCTAATCTACTTGTATCATCTTTTTTATCTTCTTTTATTTGAGAGAGGATCTTACTGTGTAACCCAGGCTCAAACTCAAAATCCTGTCTTAGCCTCCTGAATATTAGGAATACAAATGTCGGCCACCACGCCCAGGCCACCACATCCACACTAAAGCTCTTTTTTAACATGGCTACCAGAAAAATTCTAAACTATACACGCGGCTAGCATTATATTGGACAATATCTCTAAAACATTTTATTAAGTATATATTATGAAAATAGACAAAAGGTAGTAGAGGGAGGTGGTTCGTACCAGTAATCCAAGCCCTCGGGTCACTGAGGTAGGAAGATCACCAAGAGTTTGAGGCCAGCCTGGACTACAGCGTGAGACTCTGAAGTTGCCAAATATTTTATTACACAATGGTAGCCTGAAATCAAATAAAACCGGAGTTATATGTTGACACCATATGGTTATGAAATTTAGAAATCTATTGAGAAACAGACACGGGGGAATATAGAAGAAACAGGAGCCCATGGAACGTGGAGAAGGGTG